GAAGTAGATCAAATAAAAAAGTGGATCAAGTGATCAACTATGGTGTGCGCCTATGGCTCCATATCCTAATTGTGCAACTGCACGCTCTGCGCAAATTGCGCGTCTCGACTTCAACTCGTTGATCGAAAAGCACATTTCTGGGTATGCCTTTTTGGTTTGTTTTTTTTCTACAATTTTCTGCTAGATATGCCAAAAGAATTTTCGGTGAAGATTCACGAAAGAATTGTGCACCCGTATTATGGCACGCGCAATGGGTACAGTGTGTGCGATCGCACATTGTATCGATTTAGAATCTAGATCATGCTTTAGCGAAAATTGGTCAACCTTGGTAACACATTCATAATTCTGCAAACCTTGGTTACTTACAGCTTTCAGCTGAATAATCAGCGAGGCGAAGACTATGAACAGAATCATGGCGGTTGAAGAAGACTAGTTAGCTTGCTCATCGGCTTTATACCAAAACCGAAACGGAACCACTTGAGCTGCTCAAGAGTAAACTAGCTCAAACAAGCAGTAATTACTCGAATCGGCGCTAAGTTGGCCCTACAATGCCCAAATCACCCTCTTGACTCGATCCGTTTCTGAGACGATATAAGCGCTACGAAGCGCCGGCGCTCATTAACTATGTTCACCCGTGCGATCTTCGTCCTTGCGCTCATCGCGCTCTCCGAAGCGGTTAGTAATTTGTTACTATACTTGCATTGTTGTGCAAAAATGCGTTGTTTTCAGTGTAGGTCGAACGGTGCATGTGGATGCTGTGGTTGCAGAGCAAAGGCGAAAGCACGAGCGGCTAGCAGTTTACACTTGGTGAGCTATTCGTAAGATCCGAGTAACAAATTAGAGATGACTGGAGAATTTTACGATAGTCTAAGAACACAAAAGTCAAGAGTAAAAGTAAGCTAGTGCGGGACTGAACTGTAACCGATTCAGGGCCGGTTAGGCGATGAGAGCACTAAATAGAATGCATTCGACATTTGCCGTCATGTACAATTTAAGGGCAGTGTCCGATTCTGAGCGATATGCTTGAGTTTGCAGTCAACAATAACCGCCTTAGATTTCGCTAAATTAAATCATTTAAGAAGAAGAGGTTGTACTTATGTATATGTCAATAACCAGTTGCGTTCAATTCCGCTTACACAACACCAGATGTCAAACGCCCGCCATTTAGTGCGCATTTGCTCAACCCTCTAAGTTAGTTCAGTTAACAGTTAACAAAAAGAGGACGCGGTCGCATGCACTCTCAAATTCTGTATTTTCGGTTAAGTGATACAAAATTACATTGAAAGCATACAAAATTCTGAAGATTACTCGCAAAAAATTTTTTTTCGTTTAAGAAATAGCTGGAGTGGAAGTTTCAGCAAATAGCGTAACAGATTTCTTTGCACAATAGCTCCTCAAAAACTAAGCAAAGTGTGATTTTTTTCTAATAATGCAAATCATTCAATAAGGTCAATTTTTCAAAATTTGCTGCAACGTTACTTCTTTCTGAAATATCAGAAAAATACTTATCTTTTACGCTAAACTCGTCTGTTATATGACAGTGGCACTACATCTATTGCTTTTTTTATTTAGAAAAGCTTAAGCAACAAAATTTGTCCAGTTACAGAATCCCGACACACTAGATCCCCGCGACGACGGTAACATCTTCGGATTGGAAATCTGGAATAAAACTGATATAGACGTCAACGAAGAAAATATCGCTCGTTATACAGTAAATCACTTTTCTCCATTTCATTTACCAATTCATTCTCTATAAGCAACTTGATATTCTTACAGAACCCAAACTTCTTGTTCCATCGTTGCTGCGAAGAACGCCGTCTACCTCCTGCTTGTGTACAAAAATGCCATTTTAACACCTATGAGAAGGAAGCGGTAAGGACGAATATGATGGTAGGCCAAAGAAACCACAAATTCATTATAGCTCGAAGCCATGTTTGTTGGGACCGATGCATGTCCAATCGAATTCTTGCCAGAAATGCAATTTTGTGCCGCTCAAGGAATGGATCATCGTCAGGTAAGTAAAAAAAAGGGTTTCAAAAGTTCTTTCATGTGAGAGGGGACTAA